TACATAGAACAGGGGTCACATCTCTCCTCTGGATCACATCTCCTCACTTCCTGGTCCTGGCCTTTGAAACTGTAGCTCGATTGTAAATGATAACACTGAGAGCTAACAATTCCTAATATTGAAGATATTAAGCAAGTAACCTGGAGTCTTGCTGTACTGCATCTCCAGTAAAGTAGGCTCTCTTTCAAGAGAAAAATCTGAAAACTTTAAAAGGCACTCTGGTTAATATAAGTAGTAAAAAAATGCTTGTGTTTAAAGTTCCCTTACATTCTATTACCAATTTTAGCCTCATTTTTGGAGTCATTTCTGGATCCCTAAAATTCCCAAACCAATCTTTAACACACTTACTTAGGCCTTTATGGAGTGCTTGTCAGCGTGAAAGAAACAGTTTAAATATCCCAGTTTACCATCTGTTTTTTATACTTAACATGTCTCAAGGGCAGTAAGGTTCATAGGACAAGGTAACAATTTTATTAAACCAGAAGATACAGCTGGGGGTAGAGGGAGGTGAATAATACATACTGTTTCTCAAAATGTAAGTTATGAGAGCCTCTCCAACTCCTACCCTACTACATGAGACAGCAACAGCTAGACAGGGATCCAGAAGTAAAATTCCTCTTAAAGAACAGAAATAAAACCCATAAATAATAAATGTAACCAGCTATCTATGCAACTATTACTATCAATAGATTAATTTCACTGAAGATGAATGCCTAGAGTTCTGCTTATTAGTATTTTCCACTGTTCACATGAAATCTGTTCACAACACGTTCCTCAGCAGGTTTAGATAACCTGAAGCATCCGTATCTCCTCTCTAGCCCAACCATGAATGTTGGCAAACAGACCAACAGATTTACAGACTTTGAGAAGGAACTGTTAGGATCCCAAAGCTCTTCTAGTAAGTCTTGAAAAGTCTTCTTGAACAAAGAAAAAATCAGGCTTCAAGTATGGAACTTTATATTAGAACACATTCTGCTGTATGCGTTGTAGATCTTAAACAGCTTCTGTTGCTTCCCAGTCCCATGTCAGGTTTACAGCAGCTGAACCCCTCTGCATCTGCCTACCATGTCCTGGAAGAAATCAAGCTGTGACCCATATCCTAGTCCAGTTTAAACAAAATCCATCTGATTGTGTTCACATGCAGACCAGTTCCTCCTCCCGGGAATCGGTCACCTTTGCTGCCAAGATTCCTGTCCTTCTGGCAGGGATGAAGGACAAATGAAAACCTTAAGCTATGCAAAAGCAGAATATTTTAACACAAAAAGGAAAGGCCAAGAAATTGAAGGCATTTATAGTTGTGAAGAACTTGGTCCACACAATTCTCCAAAATCTTGAAATCAATGATAGAAAACATATTTAGCATTTTAAGATTGGCCTATGATACTGTGTCTACTGCCAAAAGCTCTGTCCTCCAGAGATGAAGATTTTGAAAAGAGATCATGAAATTGCTATTGGAGGGAGAATACAAACTCTCCCTCATGAGCAGGAAGATGGCTTGTATCAATGTTACAGGAGAAGTCAGGAAAAACAAAACCAGAAATCCTAAAGTTCATCTTTGACCCCCCAGAGTATTACTACCTAAACTCATTTATAAACTAGTAAGTATCCAGACCCCCTATATTTGCTTCTCCTTCCCACACAGAGGTTTACTCCATGAGATCCATAAAGGTCCATACAGCAGGGAAGGAGCAGCAGGAGCCAATGCCCCAGGTTTAGACCCTGTCTCTAACCATGCACATCCTTTCTGTCCCTGTAGTATTGCCTCTCCTTAGTGCTTTATTATTTCCTTAACATGTAGGCTATGTTCCACTATTAAGAGATTACTCAACACTAATCTTTTTCACCTCCTGCCCACTTTCTTCCTCTCATCCCTATTCTCCTTCTCTTCCTTCCAAACTCTTTTTCAACTTTTCATTCTCAACAGTTCATCCATCAGCCTTGCTCCCATGTCGGTCTGCCACATTATTCAACGTACCTTCAAGTTCCATCCTCAAAATGCATCAATTTCTACAGATATTTTTAACTAATAGTTGGGAAGTTATGATATTAAGCATATCAAATCCTGTGAAGGGACACATGCAAAAGACACAGTATCTTCTACATTCACTGCTGTCCTTATTACAGCAACCTTCAGGTCTCAACCCTGACAAGAAGTTACTGAAAAGTCCCAAAGATTTGATGGAGCAGGAGTGCCTAACAAATACAAAACTATTACAGATGTCTGAAAGGAACTGGGTGGAGTGTTGCATGGAATGGAAAAGATTAAGTACCTACTCTATTCTTGTAACATGAAGGGCCAGGAAGTTTCAGAGCCAGCAGTCAAGAGAAAGCAAGTGGAAAGCAGGCAAGAGACCACTTAGCTTTTTTAAAACGGACATTCTCTCACTTACAAACTGCTGTAGAATGCCAGTATCAACAGCTAAGAGTGACATTTGTATTTAAAAATGTTTAAAACTCTCAAAGTGACCTGCTGCTGGCTCCATATGTTATTTCTCAGCTGCTGGAGTGAATCTCAGAAAGGAGGACACAAATGAGTGGCCAGCAGGTCAGAGGAAACATGAAGCAGAGGTCTGGGAAGGATAAAGGAAGTGACCAAGAGACTACAGAGAATTAGGAGTCACAAAGGTATGACAGACTTCTGAAACTTCAGTGTACAAAGCTGGAGGTAAGAGTGCATCACAGGGAAGATGCATTAAAAAAGTAGAAAGAATCAGGGAGGCAGAGACCCATTGAGACTGGAAAACACCTGCTAATCTCTCCCAACAGCCATATCCTAGCCTTCTCCTGACTTGGATGGAGGCATGTTCTTACATGCCTTGAGTGAAGTGCAGAAACACGTGTGACACTGCATGGCATTGTCCTGATGGCACATCTTGGATCTTGAGAGCAGTGCCACTCCCTTAGCTTCATACTGTACCCTGAAGCACCCTTAGCTGAGACTCCACATGGCAGCAAGGCAGCTGGACCACTGTGGTTCCACAGGGCCTGATGGGCATGCCTGAGTGTTACAGGAACCCTAACAAAAAAAACACCACCTACACATATATGAAAAATTAAGTCAGTATTTCATTTAATGCAACCTTTCAAAGTTGTTACATATTTATACAAGAGCTGCGCCCTGAACCCACGCAGAGCTCAGTTGTGGTAGGTACTGGGCTAACACACAATTTTATCAGTGCCTCAGATTGTGTATGCCAAATCCTGGGCCACACAAGGCTCCACCAGTACCAGAGCTTCTCCTGAAGCAAAGTCTCTGAAGATTACAAGAACATTTTGATGAATGAGAACTATTTTATAATACAAACCCTCGTACATACATGGGAGCATGTGTTTATAACCAGCTTGACAAAGGTTAACAAATGTATACTATGCCTTACAGAAAAGGTGTTCCAGCAGCATGTTAGCATACCAGAAGAGAAAACATCATGTACTCCAGACAATTTTCACTACCATTCTTAAAACTGAAGCACAAATACTTTTGACAAACTATGGAGAAAATAATAGTTGTGAAGAGAGGCAGATAAGGGGAAATAAAAAACCAAGCCAAACTTGGTCTCTGTACAGTGTCAGTGAGTAACTTGGAGAAGAGGAGAGTGAAATATTGCCCCTTCCCCCCAGCAGAGCTCCTCTGACAGGCTCTGTGCCACAGCAAGCCCAGGATGATAGGCTTGCAGCAGGCAGTCTGAGCCCGCTGTAAGCTGTGGTCGGTGTAGTGTGTCTCTGTATCGGTGCACACACACAAGACAACTGAACAAGTTGGACTGTGCAAGAGTTAGTTCAAAGAAGACTTATCCATCAATATCTAGGTCTCCATTTACTCCACTTTTCTATCTTTATGGAAAGATCATATGAACTATAAGAGCACACACACTAGCATGCATAAAATTTGAAAACCTCGGTCGTGCCTTCATTTTAATAACAAGGCTACATTTCCCAGAAAAAAAAACAACCACACAAACTCAGCATTGTTCTAAACAAATACTAATTTCTAGCCGAATTATGCAGAATCAAAAGGCTAAAATGTTCTCCTTCAGATAAATAATTGTGAAATTAACATTTACAAGTGTAACAGCAATTTCCATTCCCTGGAGGGATGTCATTTGTGCTCAGAGGTGACACACTATTTTTAGGATCACGACATGAGCCACATTAGTTCAAGTACACTTTGATCAAATTTTCAGAGTTAAATGTTTGCTGCTCACATCTAGTACAACTGCTGCTCTAAACACTGAGCAGTGTTATGAGCCAGCTCTTTCAAGGTTTTTGGCTGAGAAAAGCTTTAGTTAGCTTTTCAGTTTTCATTTGGTAAGAGAAAAATCACCTCTCTTTAATCTCTAGTTACATGCCTCTATTATGACCTATTCTAAACTTATCTCCTGGCATAGCAAACGGAATTTCACTAAATGCATAGATAGATATTGGACACCTTGTTTCCACTTTGAGCTCAGTATGGAAGGTAACACTTACCCCTAGTAGTATGACATTAAATCTAGAGCAAGTTTTGTATTTCCATTCCATGTTTTACTTCCTCACACCCCTTTCTCTCCATCTACCCATCTCCCAGAGAACGGAAGAGGTCTATGTCTCCTGCTCCATAGCCTATTCTGACAGCTGAGCCACAGGAGGGTGCAGCACAGCACAGATGCAAGGGGAATAGAGTGTATAAAGAACCTGCCAGCTAATGGAAAATCCATTTTAGATCATGCTAGTTTATTAAAGAAACACAGAGAAACAAACAAAAAAAACCCCATGGCATTTAAGGCAGCTATTCAGAGAAACCTGTTCACTAAGAGACATGGTGTAATTGTGTACCAAAGAACTACCCATTCTACTGGTCCCAAAACATTCAAAAATCTGACTTGGTAAATGATTATTTGAACAGCTATCAACTTAATTACCAATTTTAATTTTTAGATAAGTATAAAAGACTTTAGAGCCACTAAGTAAGTTATGCCGCTGATACAGATTGTTTAAATTTTGAAGAAAAATAAAATACTTACCACAGTGGGGTTACCACTGCTGATCAACTGGCTGACTTCATGAAAAATGCTTTTGCAGTCGATTGATTTGTCTAGTGATCCCCGTTTCACTATCACCGCTACTGCTAACAGAATCTGCTCCCGCACGTACTTTTGAAGGCTGTAAACATTGCAAAAATATAGTTGTAAACAATCCTGAATATCTATGCTCAAAAAAAATGTTAAACACATTTCCTTTTCAAATATTTTTTGTGAATTCACAGTGGAAGGCTGACAACTCTAGAGAAGTCAACACAGTGTGAAGAACGGAAGACAAATTACTGTTGAAATAGTCTTCCACTGCTACCCTGGTAAACCAAAGGAAAATCCAGACTTTACGCAGAATCCTACATGTTCAGAGGTATTTTTTCTATACTTACTTAGGCCTTTGTAAGACATAGGTTAGAAGGAATGTTCGCAGTGATTCAATGCTAGTTTTTTCCAGGAGAATCCATTCTCTTACAACTGCTTCCATTATCGCTGTAGCAGCTTGAAAAAGGACATAGTCCACTTTACTTGTTTCTGGGGGGAAAAAACAAAGGCAACTTGAGTATTAGAAGACATACATGTATTTAGCTTTTATGTACTTCCAACAAAAAAATTAATGTGAATTACTATTGCTTACTACTAAATGGAACTTTTTTTTCTGTGAAAACAGACACAGAACATACAACTCAAAAGGGAGAAAAAAAAAAATCAATAACCCAATTATCAAATTGTCCAAAATTGTTTGAATCAGTTACTCGGGAAGACAAGCTGGCTGAGCAATGAGACTGTGCCAAAGATCAGGAGTAAGAATGCAAACGCAACTGTGGAATAAAGTAAAATGATGACTTAGTCCAAATACAGTAAGATTTGATCAGCTTGACAGGCATGCCAGAATCGAAGACTCCTCTATCATCTGGGTGCTTGCCTTTGGAACCAACAGTGCATAAAACTGCATAAAATTTATTTTATTTCATTGATGATAATACGAAGCGAGTCCACTCAAACCTAAAGATAACATTTGTGTTTCATTATCAAAGCAAATGTTTTACAAACTGGTGTATTAAGTGTTTTCTACATCGTGTTTTCTACATAGAATCATAGAATCCTTTAGGTTGGAAGGGACCTTCAAGATCATCAAGTCCAACCATTGAGCCATTAGGGCTCTAAAGTCCTTTGCTAAAACAGACCATAATCTGTCAGGGTTGGAAGGGACCACAAGGGTCACCCAGTTCCAACCCCTCTGCCATGAGCAGGAACACCTCACACTAGATCAGGCTGTCTAGAGCCTCATCCAGCCTGGCCTGAAAGACCCCCAGGGATGGGGCCTCAGCCACCACCCTGGGCAACCCATTCCAGGGTCTTAGAACTCTCATGGTGAAGAACTTCTTCCTCACATCCAGCCTGAATCTGCCCACTGCCAGCTTTGCCCCATTCCCCCTAGTCCTGTTGTTACTCGAGATCTTAAAAAGTCCCTCCCCAGCTTTCTTGTAGGCCCCCCTAAGATACTGGAAGGCCACAATAAGGTGACCTCGGAGCCTTCTCTCCTCCAGACATCATGCTCAAACTTCCATATATATCTTGAAGTAATTGAAATTTAACTTCTGACCACAGTTTAAGGCTCATCAGTCCCTATTATCTGATTGCTTTATATATAGATGCACTAAAAGTGGAACAAGAGGTTATGGAAAACTACAAAGTACAATTAAAAGAGCCCAAAATACCAATTGAATTTATACAAGTACAGAAACCTACACTGACTGTTGTTATTTCTTCACTTTTAAAAATTTTAACTTAGAAATAGCATGTAATAAGTATGTCAGTAGCTGGTTTCAAAACATTCTGAGCTCTGTAGAAGACACAGAACATTCATAAAAAGGGTGTAGCCACAGCAAGGCTAAAGCATAAAACATGACAAGGTGAACAAGAAGCAGAGTTTGAGCTGTGCTGGGTGACTAGCCAGGACTAGAAAAACTGAGAAAGAATCAGTCATGAGGTGATGGGCTTTAAAGGACTACAAAACAAATCACCTTTCTCTGATTATATACCCGAAAGTTTATAACATACATTTCCTTTATGTGAAAGTGCTATATCCAAAACAGCAGCCAATTTGCTAAAATGTTTTCAAGTCATTTAACCAGGCTCCACATCTAAATCCTACACAGGTAAATATACTTAAAATAAATCACCTTTAAATCTACTTAGCTTAACTTCCATTTTTTTTTCACCAGATTTTAGAGTCAGCTTTTACTGAAATGTGCCCCTCGCCTCCCTCAACACTCACATCTGGTCAGTACAGCGGTGCTCAGCAGTTTTTTTTTTCTTATGTGCTTACTGTTCCTGCTATTTTCAAACTACTTAGCTGCCAAACTCTGATAAGTCTCTATAGCATCTGCAAAAAGAGATTTATTTTTAAAGACTTGTAACACAACCACATTTACAGCATTTCCATTGAATCTCATGAAGCTTCTGACAAAAGATGATACCTACACCTTTCCCATCTCCACAGGCCTTATCCCACAAAACTTTGAATCAATGCTCTATTGCTTCTACCAGGTGGCCAGAAAATTCTCTTTTTTTTTTTTTAATAAACGTAACAGTTGGGCTGTTAACAGCAACTTAAAAAGACACTCAACCTGAAATACATTCTCATGGTGGAAAATTTCAACACCAGTGCAAAATCTGGCAAAAGAGTATAAAAATTACATTGTTGGTTGATTTAATGGAAGCATCAAGCCAAGCAATCACACATTGCAAGTAGTTCTAAAAAACCTGCAGATTAGACAGTATTAAAATAATCATGTCGCATAGGAAACCTGAATTTTTTAAATCAGTTTAGGAACTTGGCTACACAAAGTTATCCCTTAGAGCTTTGAAGCTGCCAGAACCAAAACCAAAAAGGCTAGCAATAGGCTTCACCCTCCATCAGGGTACTCCTGATCAAAATCAAAACTGATGTCTGTATTCCCAGCTGCAGAACAGCACAGTTCCAGTTATAAAGTACACACTTCACATACTGAAACTCACCCAAAATGTGTTTGCAAACAGCAAATGGTGATTTTGATTTTCTAAATGATAAGAATATGTGCTCAGCATGTTGGCGTTGTTCATTATTGACCATGGAAGGTGGTGCCTGAAAGAAAAGAGAAGAAAAAAAGTTATTCAAGCACTAGAGCCCCAACCTGACTGTAAGCAGATACAAGCAATGTTATGAACTTAGATGTATTTGCCTTCTTAAGATACAAAAATTCGGTATCTCTTGGTAAAATTTCCTGCTCTCGGTCACAGCCTCTTCTTAAATACCATTGTGCAATTATATCATATGCACCTAACTGTGAATATTGTGACATCAGACAGAGTGAATAATTCTAAGTATTGTGCTCCTAACGATGCTTCTGAAGAAAGATAAGTCATATCTAAACTCTGCCTAATCCTCTTTCTGCTGAAACCAAAAAGGGTTTCTACACCACTAAATGCTGCACACCACTAAATGCTGCCACACACGTCACAGAAACAAAACACTTATTTCTTTAGTTCTACAGTTGTTTTAAAATATTGAACTGTGTAATAAATTCAAGGGATTAAAAAACAACTACCAATAAATTATAAAACAAAGTATTGGCAGTAACATACTACCCTCTAGTGTTTAATGTTAAAGTTTACATCCGGAAGACTACATGAGGGCTCTGAAGGGATATGTCAGCCCATTTAGGGATGGCTGTTCCCCAGCTCTCTAGGATCATCCTACATCATCATGGGCACCTTGGCTGCTCAGGTAACACCTGCTGCTCTGCTGCAAGCCAGGTCCATGCTGGTTTCTACCTGAAAATCAACTATGGGTAAAGGATGAAACTATGCAGCAGCCTGAATCATCATGAGGTGGGGTATTGCCTACAGAGCACAGACTGAGCTAACCTCCTGCACTGTGGCCACACCCCATTGAGCACCCCAAGATGCATCCCCACTGACCCACAAGGTCAAAACAACCCTGAAAAAAAAAAAAAATCAGCTGCTCAAACCACCACACTGCTCTCTGCTTTAGCTGCTCATTCTCTGATTTCTGTTATTTGGGATTTACCTGAACAAGCACATGGCACAAGATACTCTTACAGGGGACTGATACCACAAGGCAGTGCAAGCTGAACTGGTATACCTTTGAGGAAGGGATGTACATGCACAGAAAGGCTGCATACAAACTGCAGAGGTGGGGCAAGGTGACAGTGTAGATTACTGAACTCCCAAACTTCAAATTCCAGTCCCATCCCTAGCAACCTGAGGAGAACATGTGCGCCACATACCTCTTGGTTATGATTTACAACCATTGCTTTGGGAATAAAAGCGTCAAGAAGTTAACATAAAGACTAAGGCTTTTAAGTGAAATATTTTCCAGTAAATAAAACATCAAATCTGATCTAATTCTTTCATCCTTGAAAAAATACAAGATAACAGAAGATCAAATATAAGCAAATACACCACAGATTAAAACTTAACAATGTGAGCAAATGAACCAAGGGAAATCAGGCTGCTGATCCTTGGACCAACAGGGTCCTAATAATCACCTGCGCTCCTTCTTACACAGCCAGTTTCTGACTCACAACTTATTCCAGCCCTTTCAGCACTACCGACCTTGCCGCTCACACCTCTGCAGTCTCATGAAGCCTTACTAATTACAGCCACATTAGAAGGAATCCTTTGAGTGTGCCAAAGCATCGCATTTTGCAAGTCTGACGTCTTTTGTATTCACATTCTTTGAGCAAAAGGAGAAAAATCAGATCTTGAACTAATTTTGTATTAACAAAGCATATCTGAGTTTGTCACACAGAGGTCACATCTATTTTCAGTGTTCTGTGATACTTAAGGACACTTTCAAGGACATCAGCAGCAAATTGTGGCTCCATTAAAAAAAGGTGGAATTAAAAGTTTTGCGGGAAATACCCCCATATGCTTACAATAACTAGAAGAAACCTCCAATTTTACATCGTTTTAACTCTTCTACTTCTCTGAAGTCTGATTACAGAGGACCTTGAGCACTTTGGAAAGGAATCCAGCACATTCCTTTACGTATTTTACATATTCCTCTGTTAATTTTTTAAAATTGCATTAACGTAATACATCACGCATTTAGCCTCTCAAAACTGTCCAGAACAGCCAAGTGCAACAGGTAAGCTTTAAGATGTACTATGTGGCCACCAGAGGGGGCTTAAAGCTTGCAGTGCCCTGCCCTCCCTACACCCAAACATTAATTAGCTGTACACTGAAAGTCCAGCTCATTTAAGTCTTTAAAGGAAAGCCCAGTATAAACTTATTCTGTGCACAAATTTCGTATTACAAGAACACTGGCGTAGGTGAGCCCGAGAGCCCTGGAAGCCGGTGCCCATCATCCCCTGACACAATGGGGTTACAAACATACCCATCGTGCTTGGAAGGTCCCCCGAAAATACCTACACATTCACTGTTTTCCAATTGTCTCAGGCAAACTCTACCACCCAGCTTACAGGGAACTGAAGAACAGTGTGGAATTGATTGGGCATTGCTGGCATATTGGAACTATTCCCAGCTGTGCCACTTTCCTTTTGGTACTGCCTGATGATCCTGCTAACATCCAGCTGCTGTCTTTTCTTACAAGTTACCTATAAAAGGTTTTCCAGAAGAATACTCTTTCTGGCTTAACATAGCAAGATACTGCCCCGTAAGAATAGAGATGCTATATAACACAGTACTATGAACAAAATTACTTCCTTTCAGCTACCAAGGCTGTCTGGCTACAGAACAGAAACAGCAACAGCAGTGCCTATTGATCATATCCAGCAGGACTACCGACTCAAATGGTGACTAGTCACACAACAGAATGAGAAAATAAAAAAGAGATCAGCCTGGAAACTGGCAGACTAGCACTAATACTTTCATGACAACTAAACTGACCTGAAAGCCTGGAAAACTAAAGTATTGTAACCCATCCCCTTTCACATCACACAGTTTATTAAAAGAAGGAAACATAGTTTCTTCCACTTCATTATGTCCCACTATCACTAGTCTGAACAACACACACAACCCACAAAGGGAAAAAAAGAGAAAAATTAAGTACTTTATCACAAAAGTGTAACAAAGCCTATAGGCATATGTTAGATGATCTAAATCCTGAACATGCTTAACAGAAATCCCATTCTCTTTGTGTGGTTGTGAAAAACCTTACACTATGTTTTTAGTCCTCAAGAAAAAGCATGGGAAAGCCGAGGACTTTGCTTCCCTTCTCATTTTTCTTCTTAAAAGAACACAAATAATTGTGATGAATCCCCTCAAGCCATCAACAGCAAATGATCCAACAAGGAAAAAAAGATTTTGAGAAGCAGAATAACCAGTGTTCAAGAGGAAATAGTCAGTGAAGTCAAAAGTAGAAAATACATTTAACACATCACAGTCAGAAAAGAGGACTGAGAAAAAGGAAAGAGCTGGAGATTGAGGTTCTCCATATTATGGTAAATTCAGGACTTAGTCCTCAGTAGTGGGCATCTTTCTAGTATTTTTGGGTACAGGTAGAAAAATGCAGGGGTAAAAATAAGGGGCTTGGAGGCTTTAACTACTCCTTAGTAGTTAGACGCAGATAGAGGATCTGAAGCTACACGTATTTGGAACCACATGCTTAGAACAAGCATGTCCTACCTCAGTACCATACCTTTAAAAAAAATTGTGTGTGTATATATATAAAAATATATATAAAATTATGACTTGTCAGGATGGAGAGTGCTAAGCAATGAAGGTAATAAAGACACGAAAATGGTCACAAATGGGCTGCAAATATCAGATATCTCTTTGTAAGACTAAAGTCACCATGTATTTGCCAGGAACTTTATGCTGAAAACACCTTTTGCTTTAAAATAGAAATTTAAAATCCTCCCTCCACTCCGAGTGATTCTGTTCAGGCAATTTCATCTACGTTTTATGTCTGCGGTGGTTAACAACAGTTTATCATACATTAAGAAGTGACATCATTTTCTTAACAATTTTTGATGCCAGAGAATATTACTTATTGATCACTTGTAGACAGAGACAGTATCCTAAAATTATCAACTTCTAACATTCTAGTGACAAAATTATTATTCAAATCAATAATGGAATAGTTTATTTTTAGTTAACAAGTTTGTACTGTTATCTCTGCATCATGCTTTTGCTAAGAAAATTCCTGCCCATGACCATGAATAAACATAATTAAGGATGGGGTGAACAGCATTCATTCCTTGCAGACAGAAAAGTTTGCTAGAGACAAACTCTGATTTTTCACAGGTTTTTGCTATTGCAAGGCAACATTGAATACAATTAAATTCAGCATCCTTCTAAAATTACACTGGGGGAAAATCTGCAAATCAACGCATCACAAAGCAGCCACACACTCCTCCAGATTTTGCTGCATAAGAGAACACAGAGAGAGTTCATCAGAGTGTTTTAAGCTGACAACCAAAGTATTTCCACCTTCCAAAAATGTTTCCTATGAAAAGTACAGCCTAAAAACTAGTATGATCTTCTGTTTTAAACCCAAGAAGATTCTCTTAGTAGGCATGTTTGCCTTTCCATAATCAAATTGCTTGTACCTGCTACTATTGAAGCCAAGAAGGTACTTTCTTGCCAAAGGCAATGTTTATGTCTGCAAGTAAAGTACATTACAAGCTTGACAAGGGTAGAAACAAGTCTAAGATCTCTGCTGAAATTTGACTTCAATAAAATTCACCACAAACTCTACAAACTGAGCTTCCCCAAATACGCAGTGGAATCTTGCTTTCCCTGCAGTCAATAGCTAAAACAAAACCTGCTCCCAAACTCGGGCCTGTGGGCCATTATCAGCTTATGAAAAAACAAACAATTAAGCATGTTAATTGTTCTTCAGAATGATGCCTGGACTCTGCTGCAGAGAGTCTGGAAGCTGAACAGAGACAAGGATAAGAAACTGGATCTCTATCAATATACATGGATAAGGATAAGCAAAAGCCACCACAGACAGCAGTGGCACCACTGGGTCTGGGCCTTGCTGACAGCCACCATCAGGCAAGACATGCTCAAAGAAGTGAGGAATAAAGGAAGCCCAGATGGCTTGCCAATGTGTCCCAGCAGGCAGGGAAGCCAAATAAGAGCGAG